TGAAGTTTAAATAACATTAAATCTATTAATCATCCATCCTCTAAAAAAAAGTTATGCAATCTGGTCAAAACTACAGTTAGTATAATCTACAACTTCTTTATACCTCTCTTAGTTAATTTCTATGGGACTCTGCACTGTAAGAGAACTTCAGATGTCCTTTGACAAAAAGATGGCATTTGTTTTGATATGAGAATAGGTAGCCAAAAAGGAATACAGGGACTTCCCTGGTGGCGCAGTGGTTAAGAATCCTCCTGCCAGTGCAGGAGACACAGGTTCGAGCCCTGGTCTGGGAAGATCCCACATGCCGCAGAACATCTAAGCCTGTGCGCCACAACTACTGAGCCTGCACTCTACAGCCCACGAGCCACAGCTACTGAAGCCCGTGTGCCACAACTACTGAAGCCCAAGCACCTAGAGCCCATGCTCTGCAACAAGAGAAGCCACCACAGTGAGAAGCCCATGCACCCCAACTAAGAGTAGAGCCCCCACTTGCTGCAACTAGAGGAAGCCCGCGTGCAGCAACAAAGACCCAACACAGCCAAAAATTAAAAAAAAAAAACCAAAAAACCACCCAAAAAAGAATATAATCATATATAAGTGCAGCCAGCAAATCTTCTTACTTAACATTATTATAGCCTTAATTAAATATTATAGTAACTATATGCAAGGCTGTTCTGAGCAATTCATTAAAATATCAGAAGTTGATGATTAATTATTTTGGTTGATCTAGTAAATTTCAGTGCTATTATTTAAAAATATATATGATATTTCCTGTGTATAACAGTAGAAAATCTCCTTGTAAAAACTTCGGAAAAAATTTAAGAAGTAGAGCTTATAATGAACACAGAATATTTCTTCATTTGCACATATACCATATTTATTTAATCTATTTCATCTGTTGCCAAATTTTTACTAATATAAATGCCACTGCAATGCATAACCTTGCCTATAAATCATCATGTGCCTTTTATAACTATTTTCTTAGGATAAATTCCTAGAACTGGAATTACTTCATCAAAGCATAATACCGTCAACAGTGCCCTTTAGAAACGTTGGATCAACTTATACTTCCACCAATATGTGTTACAGTGGCCACATCAGTGCCTACCACTAGGTATTTCCACTCTAAAAGAAAAATTGTTGCCAAATGAATAAGCAAAAATGAATATTCTCCTTGTCAGGAAAGCCATTACATAAAATAGAGCCTTAATATCATTTACCTATTGGATGGCTCAAAACCCAAAAGGAAGATACTATAAAACAAAATTTCCTTCTAAGTCATGTACCTTTAATTTTTCTATCAAGTCCTTTTAAAACAAACTTATTGATAATCCATTTATTAATATTCTGTAATGACAGTCATCTCATCATAAAAAAGGGAAAAGGAGTATGGACTTACTAAAACAGCTAGTGGGAGAGGAATAAACCCCATCCTCCGTGCCACGGAATCACTGTAATCAGTATATGCCTAGACAAAGAAAGGAGAAAAGGATTTACGGGATCAAATAGCATTTAAAAAGTACAATTCACTCATCACCAGCAAATGTTATAAACAGGTGAGGCTGTGAGCAAGAAGAGAACCTAGCACCTATAATGTAATTTAGTAAAATGATGTGGCAATCTAAGTGTTCATAAGAAGTTTAAAATACAAAGTTGCATAACTGTTACAACACTGCAGAAATCATACCCTATGTAATGTTACATATTAGTATTATTTTGTAAACATTTAGTGTCAAGAACAGAGATAAGTAGGAAGTTTACCTAGCTTTCCCTTAATTAATATCCCATGCTGAATTAAACCATTGTTCAGTTAACTTCAGACTATGTCTTCAATATAATACTCACATTTTTCTGTCGACTGCTAACAAGGTCAAAAGCAAGGCTGGCCCTATATTCACTGTAGACCTAAAGACAAGTAAGAATAAAATATTAAGTAATACAGTGTAAACATACAACGTGGAAAGATTTACCTTGTAGATAAGATGTTCAATAACTAGCCAGAAAGAAGGTGCTACAAACTAAGCAACATCTGGGTAGTTTTTCTCTTATTCGTTTTCCTACTATAAGGGTAAAACATAGCTTCAATTCCCCCAACTGGTAAGTTCACAGGCTTTGTAAAGGTTTCTATTAAAGAGGGATAAATATTCAACGATTATGATCCTGAGAGCTTAGAATCTGGGGAGGAGTGGTTACATTTTAAGTAGTGTAAGGCACAGAAAATAATTCTGAAAATTTAAATTAAATGAACACTTTAAAAATTATTGTTACTGTATATCTAATGATAATGATGCCTTCTTAGAAAAATGAATGCTAAACATGATATAAAGCTGAATTAGAGAACATAGTTATGAAGGCACTTGTATTCCACTAAAAACTGCACTAAGTATTAGAATCAAGCCTATTAATTTTGACTTATGTTGCTGAGAAAATGATCCCATGAAAAGGGATTCTTGTTTTGAGGAAGCCAAGAGAGTAAAGGGTAAAATTACTTTATCACTGTTTATGCAAAAAAGTGCAAAATTATATTTTATTCAAGTATATTAAAACATTCAGAAACCCCATAATCCAATCATCACATTGCAGCAGGTGCAACTGCATTACATTTTAAGTCTTTGCCTTTTGAAATAAAACAATAAGCATCAGAGTAAGACAAAGCACAACCAGACCAAATCTAGACAACTGGTGAAATTACTATTCATTTTGGGCCTGAGGTAGGAATGAGGACTGCACTAGAAAACTTGCCTACGTTTTGTTTACAACAAGCCTAAAGCCCCATTTCTATTTCTGGAAATTCTATAGAATACCTGGTTATAGTATAAAACAAATCTCTCAAAGTTCCAGCAAATGCTTTCACTAGAAAAATATAAGGCTCTTGTCTTCTAGGACTTATCAGAAACCTACTCATAATCACAGAAAAAGAATTTTTAAATATAAAATATTAAACAATCTAGGCAGAGAGAGAAGTTTTGATATCTAATGTTGTAAACAGAAACAAATGTGATTTTTAAACAGCTGAAGTAGACAGATTATGATGGTTATTAACAGTTTATAATGGTTTTGAATTAGTGACACCCTGATTTCAACTACTGGTCAATCTATACCTCTACCCAAATGTATGGAACCAGAACTGTTTAATATTGAAATAATGTACTTTCAGTAGTTCAATTATTTTTAGAAATTTAAAATTATAATTCCAACTTTACAGTAGTAGCACTTTTCTATTTTTCTTCATAAATGCAGTAAACTTAAACTTGCTCTTCTACAGCTTTATAATATTAACCAGAAGTCAACACCAAACACTGAATTGCTTATTAAAATACATACATCTGCAGTAATGTCATTGAACTTTGTGATAAAGGCATGTTTTACAATATCCACAGCGATTTCTGATGTAACCACCATACAGACATCTGGAAACAACACCCAGAGATGATCTATAAAGTAGGGGAGAAGAGAGACAATTAAATCTCTTAGTAATGAAGAGAATCCGTAATATCCTATCACAGGCTACCACAGAAACCTGCAAACTCCACAGGGCAAAACTATAATGTTTTCAATAAGTGATAATAGAGAGAGAACCAGCATTCAATTAATTATCAGAAGAGCCCTATTTTATCCAGATAAAGGATAAGGCATTCAACAAGTATTTATTCTGTGCTTCCTCTGTGCCAACCCCTACTGAAGTGGGCACAGTGGTGAGCAGAGCCCCTGGCTTCCTTCTGGACCAGCACGGGAGGAGTGGTGGGACGGCTAACTAAGCAGGCTCCTTGTAAGACTCTCTGGCTGCCTTAATGTGACGGTGAATTACTACTAGGAACATGTGCTGAAGTCAACTGAACAAATTTTTTTCCCTCCTTGATCACTAAGACTTAAAGATACTGATCAATCATTTATTTCACTGTCATACAGATGTTATTTGTCAGATTTGCTCACCCTTCCTGTATTTATTAGAATGTCAATTCAGTACCAAGTACCTGACCAAAAAATGCCAACAGATAACCTCCTTAGACCTTGAAGAAGGATATGAGTGGGACAGAGCAAGAGAAGGATCAGAATCGCTGGCAGGGACCTGTAGCAACCCAGCACCTGGGCAGCTGGAAGGTGGGGTGGAGAGAGCACAGCTGGGGCTCTGCCTGCTGACAAGACAAGGCAGTCTTAGGGAGTTTCACATCCTGTTGAGGTTTGGGGAATCAGGGAACCTCTTTCCACAGTAAACTCTGCCACTGACTGGCTAGATGATGCTGGCAATTACCTAAGTTCCAGTTTCCTCATCTACAAGATAAAAGCATCTACACTTCACCATTATGAGAATTAAATGAGACAATGATGTAAAGTGCATAGCAATGGGCCAGGCATACAGAAAAGCTTGTACTATTTTTATGTTATTCATCATCTTGGGAATTTAGGGTAAGCTTCGTAAGTGGTATTTGGTTTAAAAAAAATTTTTTTTTAAACCTAAAAAAAACAAAAACAAAGAGTGAAAGAATGATGAATTTACCAACAAAGAAGTGTTCCTCTTATCATACTCGCAAAGAAAACTAAGATAACTTGTTGAAAATCAAGTACAAATGAGAACACGACTTTAAACATCCAGTTGTCAGCAGGTTTAGGGATTACTGTCCAGGGGCGCAACAATATCGCTGTTTCAGGACTGCTGATCCCACGCGGGCTCTGCTGGGACCAGCCACACTCGCCCGTTACTGCCTCTCATGGACATCCTGTTAGCTGACTTAGTTATAAAGCAAGAATCCAGCTATGCAGAGAATCTAGGTGTGTGTGTGTGGAGGAGGGGCTTTGCTACCACAGGTCAGGTAGCCTTTAGATCTATTCAGATGAGACGTCAAGCCACTGTTAAGATATACCATTTGATTGTATGCTTTCTACAAGAAAATAACTTCTGGAAATATATTTCCAAGATCACATATCCCATTTTACAGCTGTTTCTGATGTTTCACACACAACCTGAAAACTAACAAGAAGTTATTAAATACCTATAACATGCACGGCATTGGGGGTACTAAACTGCAAAACATGACCTCGATGCTTAAGAACAAGGTTATACAGAAATGTCAGACGTAAAAAATTCTAAACTACTTGAGATACCTGATCATTTCCCACCAAGCTGACTTCAGCACCACCAGACTGTGTTATAACTACTATCTATTTCCTCTATTAGCTTGTGATTCCTACGCACATCTTAGTCCTTCTTACCTGTGCCAGTGCCCAGCACATAACATATACTTAGTGAATGTCTGCTAGCTGAATGACTGATGAAAATTCATGGAATCTCAACAACTTCCTTGCCAGCCTTGATTCAGAGAGTGTAAGTAACAAAGTTTACTGCTTTACATTATATTTCTTTAATTTATCTTTATTCAAAATGCTAATTCATAGGCAGTGAATGAGTAAAAGATAAATTTTAGGAAAGAGTAAAAGTTCTTCTGGTGAACCTGAAAAATGAAAAAGATCTGACTGTATTTAGATAACCACAGCACACCAGTTAGAAAAATCAGCAAAGAGGCTTGGAGGCTGCAGTGCTCGACAGGGTCCACTCACCCACTGGGTACACAGCTCTCTAGAGATGCTGTGCGGCTCACAGGAAATGACGGGCCAAACACCACGGCACGTGGTCTGGCTCCCACCATACCACAGACAGCACACTCAATCTGTCCTACTGGAACGGTTCTTTCCAACACCCAGAGAGTTGAACAGCTAAAATTTTTGAAGTTTTCTGCAATATTCATTTTATTCCACGGAAGAGAATGATTTTTGGTTCAAGAGTAAAACTGGAAGGCACCGTATTTGTTAAGAGTTACTTACCTGGATTCCAAGAAAATTGTTCCATGTTTCTTAGACACACTATTAGCAAAAGCACATAATTTGTGAATCGTTCTTTAATATCTGAAAAAAAATTTAACAAAGAGTAGATATAAAATAAATTGTATATAAATAGCAATTATAGAGTATGTATCTAAAATAACTTTCTTTTAGTCAGAGCATGATGAAATTATATATGTAAATGTGTGTAAAATTAATGTATTATAAAATATATTTTAAATGTCTGTAAAATTATATATAGGGTGGTGCTACGTTGGTAAGCCATCTACTTCTTTCACCAACATAATTCTAGTATGGAAATTCCAGTTTTCTACAGACTTCAAAAAATATTCAAGCCATCAATCTGCTCATATTGAGTCAGACTGCTCCAGTGGTCTTTGGGAATGTAAGAAAACTGTTTCCATTTTATAGAAGAAGAAATAATAGAAGAGTGTAAAATATAAGACTTTGGGTAACATAAAACCCCTGCTTCCCAGACTATTTGCGATCTGGTAAATAGTAAGCATACAAGTACCGACCTGATGAATCCTTCAGCTGAGAAAGTGCTAGTATTACAATAGCATTACTAAGGATGTATGTGGAACTTAAGGGAATAAAACAAGCAAAAAATTAGGTTTCATGATATATACCGTAAGTTACTAAGTATTCTGGACTTAGTCTGAATGAATTTAATAAAAGCAAATAAGTAAATTCCTGCTAAAGGCTAGTTCACACATTTCACTTTTTTTTTTTTTTTTTTTTTTGCGGTACACGGGCCTCTCACTGTTGTGGCTTCGCCCGCTGCGGAGCACAGGCTCTGGACGCCCAGGCTCAGCAGCCTTGGCTCATGGGCCCAGCTGCTCCGCGGCATGTGGGATCTTCCCGGACCAGGGCACGAACCCGTGTCCCTTGCATCAGCAGGCGGACTCTCAACCACTGTGCCACCAGGGAAGCCCACATTTCACTTTTGAAGCTGTTATCTTCTTATCAGAGTCTAAGATACTATGTAACCAAAAAATGGAATGAAATAAATCTATGTCTGCAGTAAGTCTGGTACATCCACGTGTTGGGTCTATGCAATGGTAGGGCTGTGGCTAGAAGCCATCACGCATGTAGTGCCCATCTCAAAAGCCTGTACACATCTGTCATTTCCCTAATAAATCTAGTATCTCAGGAATTCAACTGTGGGACCCCCTATAGCCCTCTGCATTTCAGTTTCACTCTGAAGTCCTTCCTGGGACAGCTTTGTTCTTCCTTTCTGATTTCCACCTTACCCTGTCACTCTAGAGCAAATGATTTGGACTTTTGTTCTACAGCTAAACCTTGGCCTCTGTAAGTGAGCTGGCGTTTTCCATGTGTCTTCTTCCCTAAATTCCTGAACTCTCTCTAGTTAGTAGCAGTACCTCTTTTCTAGGGTAGCTCGGCTCCTAGCCCCTATTTGTGAGGAGTCTGAGCTGTACCTTTACTTCTTCAAAGGCCAGGGGGCACAATCTGCTGTTCTATTATGAATCCATAGCATTATTTCTTATGAAATGCCATGTTTTGGGGTATAAGCTCACAGCACAGTGAGTCTCCAGGTGAAGAGCACAGGCGTGCCCCCTCGAAGGGCACTGCAGAATTGCAAGGAAGCACACTGTGGAGTGTAAAGCACACATGTTGTGACTAGTTCTAGATCACATTTTCAACTTATTCTGTGATTTCAAACGGGAGTACAGGTTAAAAGAAGCTGAGAAAAGCCTGTCCTAGAATAATTTCCATCATAATCTAAATAAAATGTATTCTCTGCTACTTATGTATCGTTAACTGTGGGACTTAATTCTTGGGACTAATTAAATTTGTCCATGTACTTTCAGTTGGAATTCTGTACAGTTATTCACAGAGCTGCATCTACATGTGTGCTAAGCCCTTTGGATTTCTAATTTCCATTAACAAATTTAGCGAAGAAATGTACTTATTTCTGACCTTTCCACTTTCCATGATACTGACTTGGTTCACTGCAGAATTATCTGGAGAGAAACTGCCTTGTGAAATTTAAAATAGTATTTGAGATAAGCCAACATGACTTTTATAAAGTCTTATATAATAAAACAAAAACAAGAGCAGTGTTTAAATTAATCATATCTGATTCTTGGACACATGGTAGCTGCCGGCATAGAGGAAACCTATAATCATTTCAATTGTAAGAATACTGATAAAAGGGGAAAAACTCCATTTTATTAGGAGGATATTTAAGGTCAAATAGATTTTAGATAAGCAGACTATTTCAAAATACTGTAGAGATGAATAAAAATGGATAAATTCTGGTAGATAAATGCAATTTTACACTATGAGGGATGTGAAAGGTGGTAAGTTTGAAGATTAAAAACAATAAAAAAAGCACTCATTTATCAATCTAACTATGAAAATGAGGCTGCTATGTGGCTATTAAAAAATCTCACTATGTTTCAATCTTGTACTTTCACAACTTTATTTTTTGTACATTTAAATAATTTACAGAGATTTGACTTTTAAAATTTGAGCATCACTATTAAAGTATACCGAAATTCTGACACAGTTCCTCTGCAATAAAATAAAATCTTACATAAAGAAGTAACATTTTTTAGAATAATAGATTCTGATAATGATAAGATATAAATATGCTGTTGATTGAATGATTTATCTATTTACAATATATTTTTTAAATTTACAATATTAAAAATGCAATCCACAACGTATTTACATCATATCTCATCTTCAGAACACAGTTTTGACTTGGATTGAACTCGCATTAATCAAAAAGTGAAACTCCTTCTAAAATGGAAATGTTTTCTCTTAATCTTTATTAATGAGCTTAAAAACACAAGTGATTAATGCTTTAAAAATATTTCTGATATTTAAATTATTAAGCTCCTTTTTCCTCTTCTAACTCACCACTAATAGGGATACACTTTAACATATTTACAGTCACAATTTAAATGTGCAATGAGTGACTCTTTTATTTCCAACAGTCATTCAGATTAATGCAGGTACTCAGGCTTATGTTAAGAGAGTCAAACAGAATCACCCTGAGCTGGAACCTTACTTCAGACCAATGTAACTCTTGCAGGATCTTTCTGAACACACAGTTCACACTGTCAGTGGGTTAACAGCTATGTAAAACATTTCATTTTAAGAACCCAGGTCAGAAAGGTCTAGGTTCCATACTCAGCTGGGGCATACAATAACATGATGTGGAAGAAGGGACAAAATGTTAAAAGTTGGGTTTTATTAACTAAACTCTATTTCGTGTGTCCTCAGGTAATTCCCCTAAAGACAATGTACAGTCAGGCAAGAAACTGAAAGGGATAAAGTCACTCTAAAATTTCCAAACCAAGTTTTCAACATTAAACTAGCATGAGGTACTAAATTTGATCCCATGTACACAGCAGCTCAGTTTCCCAGGGAAATTCACAGGGAAAGAAATAGCTGGTGTGTGACCGGCAGCATCCTGTGGACTGGCTCTCATTTCACAGCTGCTAATGCACGTGGAGGAGGCAATAAACTCAGTCACCACGTGAAAGGCAGGTGTTAGTAACTCCTTACCTATTCCTTTAATATCTGAGCACCGCCTGCAACATCAGCGAAATTGTCTACAACAGATTTTTCTTTTTCTTACTTGGGAACAGGTTTTAAAATTCTACCTTAGGTAAGATTAATTTCTTATAAAACTTGAAGGGAGACAGAAGGGGGTACAATGCAGATCACCCTGCATTGTAACGTGAATTATTTTACCTCTAACAAAAAGCAAAACTTTTCATGCTGATTACTAACCATTTTAAGCCAAAGTATACTTGTGAATTCCTTACAGACTCACATGCATTGTTTTATTAATATGCTACTGTTTTCAGAGTCTTCTTGGAACTGAAATATTGAATTCCTTATCTTTCTAATAAGCTAAGAGATTAAAATTTGGGGGACTTGTTTATAAAAGAAAGGAAAAAGGGATATTAATTATATGAACATACTGGCGATAAGGTTGAAAATCATTCACAATCTCCTCCTCACGATACATAAAGACTGAAAACCCTTATAACTTAAAGATCTGCTTGTCTAGTTTAAAGCTCTACAAAGAGTGCCTACTCAAACCAGGTTATTAATTTAAATAGAAATAATATGATTTCTGCTACAAGTGAAATTCTTATAGTTGAAGCAATATATTCTAGAGTTAACTCCTGAAGCTGAGAAGAGCATGCCCCTTCCCTCCTATCCCTCCCCTCCTCTTTCATTTCAAATGTAAAGAGCCTGGCAGCACATGTTTGAAAGAATATTACTGCACAGAACGACACCGTGCCAACTACCCTTCAGAGCTCTGAGATCTAAGGTCTATCACTGTTCCACAATTATCTAAAGTTTTTCATTAGTTCTTTCTGTTCCCTGCCTAGTTATCAAATCTCCTACAATTCTAAACACTCCTTTGCTTTAATATATTCATATGCCATTATTTTCCTTGTCTAATATACGTACAGCAAAATTTATGTACAGTGAAATTTTCCTTTTAAGTGTACAATTTGATTGAGTTTTGATGAATGCATAAGCTATGCCACCATTCCCATAACTAAAATACGAACAGCTCCATCACTACAGTAAGTTTCCTTGCACCCCTCCCAGTCAACCCCACCCCCCAGTAAGTAATCACTCTTTTATTTGTATCATCATAAATTAATTTTATCTGATCATAAACCTCATAAGTATGAAATCACACAGTAGGTACTTATTTGTGTCTGGCCTCTTCACTCAGCATAAGGCTTCTGAGATTCATCCATGTAGCTGAATATACGTAGTTCTCCCTAACTGCTGAATAGTGTCCCACAGTGTAGATATACCAAAATTTATTTATCTGCTTTCTTCTTAATGGGAGGATTTGGGCTGTTGCCAGTTTCGGGCTATGAATAAAGCTGCCATTACAATTCTTTACAAGTACAAGTCCTTTTGTGAAACTGTGTTCCCGCTGGTGAGTGATAGGGTAGGTCAATGTGTAACTGTGTAAGAAACCGCCAAAAGGTTTCCCAGAGCAGCTGCAGCATTTCACATCCACCATCAGTGCGGGGCACTCCCCAGCGTCACTGACACACACTGGCAGCCACAGGACCAGCCATTCCAGTGGGCACGTGGTGATCTCTCACTGGCTTTTTCACCCGTTTTCCATCACAGTGCAAATGGCAACATGGTGAAAGAGATAAGTAATGTCTTCATATTCTTATGAAAACAGTTTTGACTTTGCAGACTCCCTGGAAGGGTCTTGGGACTCCCCTCCAGGGTTCCATGGGCCACACCCTGAGAACCAAGACACTGTGCTGCTATGATTATCCTAACTATGTAAGATAAGGTTTCTGGGGATAAATTTTGTGCCCTCACACATCTTAGAATTAGAAAGGAGGCGGTAAGGCACAACTGAAAAAGCCTAGAACTAAGAGCCAATCTGAGGTTTATCATCAGAATTCTCTTAGTAGCTAAGTGAGTGACCTTAGGGAAGTCAAATTACTCTCTGTTTCAACTTTCACATCTGTAAAATGGAATAATATCAGCTGCTCCTAAGAAATTTCTGGATCAATGAGAAGCTTCTGAAAGTATGGTAAGGTGAGATACAAATACCTGTAATTTTTTACTATCTGAAACATAAGATTACAATAACCAAAAAAAAAAAAAAAAAAAAAAAAAACTTAGTAAAGATGTTGAGAGAATAAAAGAAAGCACAGCTTAAGTCAAAGAAAACAGTGGCTGGCCCACAGGAAACGTGACATTAGAGTTTCAGAATGAGTTACAAAATAATACTGCATAAAGCTGCAAGTAGAATCTGATTGTACATACCGCTATTTGACATTTGAAAAAGATTGTTCTTTTCAAACTTCTTGAAAACACTTCCTTTAATTTCAACAAACTGAAATAGTAAACACAAATATCATCTTCATCATTAACACAGTTTTAAAAATGGACATGCTACATATAAAACTTCTTAGGGAATAAATAACATTTAGAAAAAATAATTTTTTCCCATTCAGAATACTGCTGTTAAAGTACCATATAACCTCAAAAATGTAAAATAAAATCTCATACTTACATTATTAGACATCATAATAGTAAGCAGGGACTTGTTGTGTGAGTTAAAAGCCACGTTGAGAGTTGTTGCCTGAACCATTATAAGGATCGCATGCAAAACTAGCAGTAAGTGATGTCAAGGAAAAAACTTAAGTCTGTTTCCAGTTTATATTAATAGATAATGCTATAAAATCTTGCAAGTTTATAATGGGGAGAAAAGATGACTATGCTTTCTAAATCAAGTCTTACGTAAGTATTTTATCATCTTTGTAATTTCCCTATTAGCTATAGTTGATATAAATTTGATGGGATAAGATGTATACAACTCATATGAAACAAAACAAAAGCAGAAATGAATCCAGTCATTTAGACTGTGAGTCCTGGAAAACAGTTGTCTTGTTCTTTCTGGATCTTTGGCATTTGGTACAATGCTTGGGAAATAGGATCTCAGAAAAGTTTATTAAATAAATGGAATAGATTATGGTAAATACTGAAAGAAGAGACCTAGATATACACGTTGTGAATTAAGATAATTTGCATTCTAAAACAGAAGAGAACACAAAGTAAAAGTTAGTCTGGAACTGATTTTCCTCTCTAGTTCTGCAGGGGGCGGGGAATATAAGACAATAAGAAATGTCTGATAATTAAGATTCTTTCTCAGATGTCATTTTTGAAGACATCCACAAGCTGCACAATTATACTCAGATTACATATGGAATAGTTTATTTAAATTAGAACAGTAACTTTTTACTTCATTATACTTGGAACAAGTTTTACTCTCCACAGAAATTTTTCCTACATAGTCCTTTAACTTCCCAAATATTAATCTAATTCTTTCAAGCATTGTTATTTCAAAGACAGTACAGAAAAAAAATCACACGACACATTTCTTTGAACAAGTCCTGATCCCATTTGGACCTTAAGTGTAGGTATGCATGTGTGTGTAAATATACATACAGACACATGCACACCGTGCTATATAGTAAAGCATTTACTCTCCAAAAGAAAAGCTTTCAGAAGGAGATGAAGGAGGGAGAAATAAAAGCTCAAAAATTCCTCCCTAACCAATTTCGAATTTTATTTCTAGATGAATTGTATACATTTTAAGCTGAAGGTTAAAACAAAGAATTCATAGGTTTAATGATAACTTCAAAAAAAATTCTAATATATGTATGAAAAAGTTATATAGATCTATATAAATCTAAAATATGTATAAACATACTATCCCTTTATTCTAAAATCCTTCCTTATAATCAGTTACACTGAGAACAGACCTATTTTCTAGCAGTTCAAAGGGTCATGTACACGAGGCTCTTTAATTTACAATTACAGTTGACCCTTGAACAACATGGGTTTGAAACGCATGAGTCCACTTATACGCATATATTTTTCAATAGTAAATACTACACTATTAAATGGTCCGTGGTTGCTTGAATCCTTGGATACACAGGGCTAATTGTAAGTTATACTTGAATTAGCCCCTGTGTTGTTCAAGGGTCAACTGTACTATTATAAGCAATTTCTCAAAAGAAAGCAGAGGGTTCACATTAGTCTTCAGGATACGGACACACACACACATCTTTAAATCTGAGAAACAGCTAACCAAACAGAATAATGTAAAATATGCATTGATGGTTGGAATTTCCAAGAAGTCTAAAAGGATACAGACATAGAGAACGGCCATGAAAAAGTGAGGAATCACCCCGATGTGGGCTCTTTTTCTTTCTTTGGGCTCTGTTGCTGTCCAATAGAGAGCATCTAATATATCTTGTCCAAATGATGAAAACAGACGATCTGCTACCTAAAGAGAAAAATTTTGTTAAGGTGTTTCTCAATATTCCATTTGAATATGTTACTAAAATTCAGAGGTGAACTCAAATTCTGGAAATCTCACTTTTTAAATCCTACTAGAAGCTAGGCTCCAAAAGAGAGCAGGATCTTTATTTACTCCTTCACTTACATTTCCTTATTCTCTGACACACAATGAGTGCTCAAGCTTTGTGTTACCTGAATTAGACTTTGTCTAGTAAACTCTGTTTGTAACAAGAAAAGTTTTAGTAGCAAAAATAAAAGGGAGAGGATATATCAAAATCACAGTTCCTCCGGTTTTAAAACTCTCTGAGCTCAAATTCAGGATTCAAACTTAAATCCTTTAGGACAAATATATCATTTGACCCACTCTACTCACACCTAATATCGGTAAATAACAGTAGCTGTAATTTGTTTGAGGTTTATCATATAAGAATATAATGAGCAGATTTGCTTCCTAAAGACATTTTCAAGTTCTGATCTCCATGAATACAGTATGATAAATAAAGAGAACCACATAAAAAAAGAAAAAAGAAGGGCTTATCATTCAGGATTCAGTCACATTCTAAGACAGGACCTTCCCAGACCATCCAGTCTTTTGTGGTTCCCGTGGTCTCTAACTATTACCGTGTTCTTCTTCATCACGGTTATTTATTATTTCCAAATACCTCGTTTACTGCCTCTCTCCCACCTGCAGAATGTAAGCTCCAGGGGATTAGGCTTTGTTCACCTCTGGACCTTCGGGATACTGGCATGTAGGGAGTGTTGGTTGAATATCTGCCGAATGAAGGGATAAATCGCTACCATTTAGGGAGCTCCTACCACATGCCTGGTCTGTGCTAAGCCCCTCTACGGGCTGTCTCATGTACTCCTGGTAATTCCCCTAGTATCTCCACTTCACAGATGAGAAGCTGAAGGTTAGAGTCATTCAGCAACCGGCGGCCATGTGCAGGATAACCAGGATTGGAGGCAGTTATCTCTATACTAGAGCCTGGACTCTTCCACACTATGCTGAAACCACTCATCAACTCTAGTCTACAAAGTGAATAAGTACTTAAGCCACCTTGATCAGCAATTCATGGATCCTTCTGCTTGCCCTGTTTCCTAGTAATGGTAATACCACCACCTTGTAGAGGGCTGTGTAAATCAGGCGGCGTCTGCCTTAAGTTTGGGAATAGGGAGAAGCCCGGTCACCTGCAATCCCCCGGAGGGAAGGCATGGAGGAGATTAGTGGGGTGCTGGCACGGAGGGCCACCCACGCAGCCGGGGAAGACAGGAGGCCTGGGCTTTTCCTTCTGTGGGAGGGAGGCGAGAGCAGGATGGCTACTCTGTTTCACAAACCACATCCACACTTGACGGGGCAAAGCAAGTGTATGGCAACGAGCCCACAACCAGGAAGCTGGGGTGTGGTTTTTAAATCATCCCAGTCAATGAATTAAGGACTAACCAGGACGGCTAGAGTTCTGCGGCTTCTATGAAGAGATGGAAAGCCCCCAGCTGCCCGGGCAGCACAGCTTCAGGGCAGAAAGGCCAGCAGCCTCCACACCACCCCACGTGTCTACGCCAGGACAAGCCCATCTGTGACTAATTGAAAAGACAGGTAGACCTTACTTGTGTCCCCAAAAAGTAGTATAGGAAAGTGCAAGTTGAGTCTCAGAGGTTAATTATATAACCCAGGTTGGCTTACTATCTACCTGACTTATTAAGTTTCTGCCTATAAAGCAAAGCATGTTTTTCCTTGCTTTGTATAACTGTTAATTTACATAAATGCAGATTTTCTTATGATGACTGCTTAAAAGCGTAGCATACTTGGAAGACATATTGTATTCAAAATGTTAAGTACTTAGAGAAATTGGGAAATTGTTTACTTGCTTGGTGTGAAAATTCAAAGGCAACTTAAAATATAAATCTACTATAGCCAACATACACATAACCCTAAAAGTATCTTCATAAATTTAAAAATTCTAGCAAAAAGTATACATAGGTTTCCAATGAATTTGCAAAATAAATTTCTCTACCATTTGACAGGTTACATTCTCAAGGAAGCACTGACTCAGAAATGTCTAGGCAGCAGGTGCCCCTCTTCCCTACTTGAGGACACATTGTGCCCTGAGGACCTGCTACCCTCAGTGTGTCCCAGGACCGGCAGCACAAGCATCATCTTGTTAGAAAGACAGATTCTCCAGTGCCAGCCCAGACCTACTAAATCAGAATGTGCATTTTAACAAGGTCGCCAATGACCGGATGAACACTGGAGGCCAGAAGCACCATTACCAGAGCCTGCAGGAAAGTGTTCTGTATTGGAAGGCTTGGAGCCGTGTGCCACCGGCCAGGCCTGTGCAGGCTGGGGCACTGGACTGCCTGGCAGGTAAATGAGGGCCCAGACTCACCTCGAGCATATTGTAAATGATGTAGAGCTTGATGACAGACTGGCCCCTAATCAGGTGATACATCATGGAGTAGTCCACATAGTGCATCATAAAATAGCAGATGACCAAAATGACACCCTTCAAGATGTCACACACCTGGGCAGGCTGAAGCAAACGTCTGTCCCTGAAATATATGAGAAGTAATAAAAATATGAGTTTTACCTTCTGTGTTCTTGAATAAATAATCTTTAGTGGACATACAGTGGCAAACAAAGGTAATAGGACTTAGGTTGATCTTTCAAAAATTTCAAACTAACAAGGAAAGTTATGCTGACTACTCAACAGTATGAAATTTTCTGCCCAAGCAGAGAATATAAAATATTAAACCAGAATTACTGCTAGAAGTGCGGAACCTAAGCAAGTGAACACCAAAGGCAGGCGGCGGCTGCTAAGAGTGCTTGGAAGCAATGGATTTCCACGAAGAAGACACAAGTCTCCCACCTCATCGGGAAGCCCTGGAGCCCCACTGGCTCAGCCCTTCTTACGCAGGACTAGCACTCTACGCATGGTGTTCTGCACTTTGCACTTTTTATTTAATAGCATAACAGATTTTTCCATATCAGTTCATAAGGAATTCACATTTACATGACAGTGCAGTGCTCCACTGTGTATCATAATTTATGTAACATATCATTGACAGATTTCCAGCCTTCTGCAGCTATAAACCATGATGCAATGTACATGTCATACCATGTCAGTGAAAGTGCATCTATAGGATAAAGTCCTAAAACTGGAATCTCAGGGTTATATTCACTTGACATTTTGATAATAGCAGCTGTGCTGCCCTCTGCAAGGGTTGTACCAATTTACACTTGCACTAGACACCTGTAAGCCCACGTGCATCAATTAGCCCACGTGCATCAATCAACTTTGGGATCTCTGCCAATGCCACTGGTGAAAAATTGAATCTAGTAGTTTCAATGTTAATTTCTCTCATTAGGAGACTGATATCTTCTTTATATATTTAAGTTATTTATACTGTGTGTGAATTCTCTCCTCACATCTTTCTCTTACTCGTTTGTAGGACAGCTTTTATATTACAAAAGTTAGCCGTCTATGACATGAGTCGAAAATACAGTTGCTCCTTAAACAACATGGGTTTGAACTGCACGGGTCCACTTATACATGGATTTTTTTCAATAAATATGTACTTCAGTACTACGTGCTCTGTGATTGGTTGAGTCCATGGATGAGGAACCATGGATACAGAGGAATCTCGGACGTGGAGGGATCATGTATACGGAGGGCTGGCTATTGAGCACAGGGTCGGTGCCCTAACCCCCAGTCGCTCAAGTGTCAACTGTGGTTTTTTCCTAATTAATACAAGCAGAATCATTCCTTACTTTTGAGGTCAGAGTATAAGGAGCTAAACCTAAATTGTGAATGGAAACGTCTTCCTAAGACACAGCAAAAAAATACATTAGAAAAAAAGAAATTTAAGACTTCTTTCACTGAACGTAAAATTCCTGTGACAAGAATGGGAAAGGTGTTTTCTCCAAGTCAACTACAGGCTGATTCCTCAAGACAGAAAATGCTCAGTTTCCTGCTTTGGCAGCTTTTACATATGTATCGTACAATCAATAAAAAGCCTGAATACTGGCATTAGGAGCCGCAGTCTCTTCATTTCTGCCTGTTGTGACAACACTTTAGGACCTACCTAAGGGGTGAGCTCCCTTTCCAGCGGGCTATTGGCGTCCTGAGCTCTCTACTTACTTGGTATTCCCTGGCTACCTATTCTCTCTGGAGCTCCTTCCTAGCCCTTGTCCACATTCAGATCGGGGACTCTTTTCTTCCAAAGATCCTTGTAGGGTTCAACAAGGAACCCATAACTGCTACCCAGAACACTACTCTATAAGATAACAGTGAGGCATGCAATGCCAATTCTGCCAGATGTGCTACAGAACCTCATACTTGTTTTCTACAATACATACTGCGTTGTGTAATGAGAGACGGGTCAGAATAGTCCAAGTCACGCCACGTGTCCAAGTCATACTACCATGGCACAATAAGCCGAGGGAAGTTATTCTTAGTAGTTGAAGTTGAAATCTTGGGAAAAACTGCCTCAAGGACAAAGCTGATCAATGTCTACCATCATTTTTCTGTCCCTTTCTGTCTCCAGTGCTGTTCCTCTCTCTCCCTGCAGACTCTGGCCCTTTTCTCCTCATGAAATCCAGAGTGAGCTGCGTTTCCCATCCCAAGCACCTAGCCCAGAACACAGAACTCTGCCAAAGGCTGTTCAAATATCGAGGTAATTCGCTGCTGGACCCCAATATAAAAAATGGAAGCGGTATGATATTTGTCAAGAGCTGGAGGTAAACATATTTTTAAGTCAAACAGTGAGAAGAGGAGACATTCTGAACACTCTTGGGCTCCTGGCCCGTGTGCCTGTCTCCCCTGGGATGGCCAGGGTCAACCCGAAGCATCAGCCAGGAGCACACACCCACCTCCCCCTCAGAAGTGCTGGCACAGCTGAGCATATGCTGAAAAGCACAAACCACCCATAGTCAGGGGCCTCTGTGTTTAAGAACTAGAGGTCATGTTTTATGAACTAAAGAAAACGATAGGAACGAAAAGTAGGGTGGTATTAATGAATTTGCATTAACTACCAAAAAGATTTAGATAACTAATTAAAGTAGAAATCTATACTTAGAGCTTTTGGTACTAGATTGGCATCTACTTAGTTAAGTGATCTCAGTCAAAGCACTTTATTTAAGAGATAAAAGGAGTTTTAATACCTATCTGTCCAATTTTGTTTCTTTATAAACATTTGCAACAAAGGAACAGTGTGTTAGTATATCTAAGGAGGAATATTATATTTGATACAAGTCATTGTTAGAAATTAGCTACCAAACATTGGAAAGCTGTCTCCCCAAATAACGTAATACCACACATTTTAAACCAAGATGATAATAAATTAAAATTTAAAAATTTTAAATAAACAACTTTAATTTAGCTTTCTTTTGCTTAGGATTAAACCAGGCTGTAAAAATGGTGGAAGAGTTGAAGAAACACCTTATGCTACAATCCACACAGGTCCTATGAGGCAGGCACCATTCTAGGCACTTGGCACGTATCTGTTCTAGTTTCCACGACAATCCTATGAGATCCTATGAGGAAGGTACATCACCATCCCAATTTCACAGATGACGCAAAGAGTATCAAGAACGTGCCTGCAGCTGCATGGTCAGAAATTAGATGTGGGGGACCAGGGATCTGACCCTATGCATCTGGCTCCAGAAAGCATGTTCTCACTCCCATCTACCGTCCCAGACGTTTCTTTAAAAGAACTTTTAAACTTACAGGAATCAGCAACTCAGTATCTTTTATCTTTCAGCATAATTTAATACTGTATAATTTATCACTGTACTGTCATCTCATACGGAAAAATTATTGTGCTAAAAACCAAAAATAGCTATAATTTTTCATTTCTAAAAAGAGGGGAAAAAGGACTATTTTCACTGGATCTGTGCACTGCTTTCTGTGCACTCTCTGCTTTGGTGAAAAATTTCCATTGCTTACATCATAACTGGGTGCTACAGAGATGACTCTGATTTTCTCCTTAATTTCAAAATTAAGGGGATTTATTCAAATAAAAAAATAAAAGCATAACTCTTAAGAAACAAGGGTCTTGTTTTCATATAAATTTCCCTGTAAATGAAAAAGGAAAGTTGCAAAAATCGTTTCTAAGGGGGCATCACAGCTTCTCGGAGTAAGAAAAGATCTAACCTCAAAATAAGTTCAGCTGGTTAAAACAACTTGAACCAGTTCCAGCATTTGTTTCCTTCTCTTTGGATATGATATATGATAAGTATTTTTGGATATGATATATGATAAGTATTTCCAACTCCATAAGAAGCTTCTCTACAGCCCTGCCAATCAACTCTGAATTGGTTTATGAACAATACTTTCAGGCTGAAGCTCTTCCTTATAAATGCCTGTTAAACAGTGGTTACTGGCAATTCGTTTTGTAAGCACTGAAAATCCCACACTAACACATAAACAAGTGGAGGAAGCTGTTGGACAAAGTGAAAAACCCACTAAATTTAATTTACAGCTGGGTGTGAGTTATCACAAGACAAGTAATATTAAACAAGATAGTCAAGAGAACTTAAAATTTTTTAAAATTTTCAAGTTAAGCCACTCTTACAGAAATTAAATTGTCTACATTTCTAAATTTTACCTTTTGATCTTTCAAATACTTTCCCTGGATTTGCACAATTACCGAACAAAGTGACCCAGTTGTTTCAAGGGCACTTTTGGGGAACAGAATGATGTAGTAAACCAAGATGATCAGGTGTAGGCTTTTCCTGCACCCTGTTCAGCAGAAGGTACTATGCCAACTAAGATTAAAGTAAAAACTGATAGTGAACAGAAAAAGATCAGGAAAGAAGAGGAGGCAACACAAATGACTAAGAGAACTGGGATAAGCCCTGCCTAGTTAAGTTTCAAACTGGTGTTGAAACACACCAAGGTATCAGCATGAGCTACTGCACTACAAAATACGCAGATTGGATCTTTCTTTTTTTCTCTCTTTCTCTTTGAACATTTTTAGCTACTTGTGGTATAACTGAAAGAATGAAGATATACAAGCACTATTGAAAAAAACGTGAAATATTAAAAATGGTCTCCATTTTTGAAAGAGAAGTCGTTTTATAATTTTAGCGTAAATTGGAGTAAAGTATTAAGATTAAGATATTTTCCTTAATTAGGAGACTGAAAATTTTAAATCTTAAGTTTTTGTGACAGACAGTAGAAAAATAATGATAAAAGCTTAAACTGAATGACTAAAGCGTTCCTTGGGCTTTGAAAATAATTTCAAACTATACTAGGAAAAAACCACTGGTTTTATAAGCTATGTTTGGTGCCTGGAGGATGCAAAATAAAAACTGCTCACACTGAAGGGCTCAGCTGACTGATGTGGCATATTGGGAATGACGTACTTGATGTCAGGTCTAGTCTGACATGTATAATTAAAGATCATTTTATCAAGTGATTTTCTTATGTTAGATGAGATCATGGTGAAATCCTGCACAAATGTGGACAAAGCTCTATGACCAAGTAAGGACAGGGAACCACATTTTCTTCAGCATGTGTCCATCTCCAAATGGTTATTATGTCTATATT